ACACACACACACACACACACACACACGCACGCACGCACGAACACACACACACACACACACACCGGTGGTATCCTGGTATATCGCAAGTATAAAAGTTTAATATTTGCGGAGATTCCTATGGATCAATAGCTAAGTAACTCAGGTTTCACTGCATATGTCTGCAGTGTTAATATCATTTCGCCTAATCAGGTTAAACGTTTGGTAATTTGGTAATAAGCTGAATTTTGCTTAATGCAGCTTAAAAGGAGGCGTGTACGTAACAAATAATAGTTATGATATCTCTGGGTGTTAGCGTGGGGACAATAATATATATATATATATATATATATATATATATATATATATATATATATATATGTAAGAATATATCTATATAGCATATACCATACTGTATATGCACATATCTAGTGTTGTAGACTAGGTGGCTCACATCGTATAGTGTTGTGTATGTTTGCGTTAAGAGTTTAGTGTTAGAGTGGACGAGTAAGTGTGTGCCAATCGGGTAATTCTAGAATGAAACGCCAATTTCGCATACAGTTCAGCGACAGTGCCTGGGCGAAGCAATCGTGCGCATTCGTGAACCAAGGGAGACATCGCTTCGTTGTTACCCACTGACAGCATCAGCACGCGCGCATGCACGCGAAACGTGTTTCAACGGGTTTTCACCAAGTCGATCGTCAACTGACGGTGGGGCGTAGATTAGCAGTTCACTGTCCGTGTAAGTCAACGGCGAAACTACTATATGCTACGGTTATATCGAAATGGCGACTATATAACCTGCAGATTACACCCGTAGCGCCGACTTCATTAACCGCTATTGCCGCGTTTACGTCGCAGTGTTTCTAATCTATACGGGTAGATCAATATGCTCTGTATCCGATCGATCACTCATCAGGGACAGTGTCAAGCCTCACCCGAATCTGCAGCGAGAATGAAATGCTCGCTCGCGCGGAGGGCCAGGGAATCGCCACGATGTACAGAAAGGCTAGCTTCCTTTCTACGCGAACGGTCGCAATGCGTATAAAGCGAGCGATCCGGCTCGAGTTGCTCCCCTATACTAGTAATCGACGTGAGCAAATGCAATTGCTTATATTGCTTTGGTTTCCGGGGAAACAAAGGATTTATTAATCGCGCGGTATGGCGTCTGCCACGCTGCCTCATATAACACCGTGTAATATGTGCATGGATATACGATTGTTGACGCTCACCATGCGCCAGGCTAGATGGCACCCTATTAGCTTTTGCGAAAACCGCATTAACAACATTACATAAATTTAATATCACTGCGATGTTTTCGGCGACATTTATATGGACGTGTGCGCGTGCGCATTAGATTTCGCAGCCCGCGCGGCCATATATATTCATCACACGAGAAGAATATCAAATCAGTCTCTCGTGTCGGTTTTGAAACAAACAGAAAATCAATCTTAGCAAGTAGAAGTTTTGCGCTGCAATTGTGCAACAGCATGTGCATTTGAAGTAACAACCATCTACTGGCTTTACAGCGCCAGGGGCCTTTCAGGCCAACTCCTGTTGTTCTGCGCCTACCGTTTTGCAATATTAGATTATTGTAGTAGACTTATCTCTAGGCGCGTCTCAGACTCATCTGCCCCTTTCATTCAAATACGCGCGCGTTGTTTATGCATCGGCATCGATTCACGCTGAGTGTGTTGAAAAAGGTCTCCGTTAAAAAAGCTTCGGACAGTTTCAATGATATTTCTAGACATATCTGTCCATGACAATGCGCGGAATATTTTACTGTCTGGGCTTAATAAGAATGAAGACAGCACGCATTAACGCAAATATATACACATAAATAAAGATAGGATGGCAAAGAATAGAGAGGAAAGTGAGATATCGCTAGAAACTGAAAGGACGAAGGAGGAAGAGGGAGAAAAAGAACTTTGGAATGAGCCATGAAAAACTAGATAGAACGAGAGAGAGAGAGAGAGAGAGAGAGAGAGAAAGAGAGAGCGAGAGAGCGAGAGAACGCATGTGCGTGCGCGTGCGTGGACAGAGAATAGACTAGGCCTGGTTGTCGAGGCAAACAGAGGACAAAGGAAGTTGGAAATAAAAATGCAAGCCCGTTTGTTGGTTCTTGTATATGAGAAGTACATTTGTCATACATGGAGGAAACACATACAAGTGCAAAACGGAGAGACAATGAGAATTACAACTTCGTAGATTACATAGCTATCATAGAGAAGCAATCGTCACTTATGTATATTGCACGTTGATATTACGTCTTAAGAGTGTTCAGTAAATAGCTGTGCGTTTGTAACATGCATGTTGGTTTATTTATATGCATTGAATTTTATTTTTGGTAACACGTATTAACCGCACAATTACTGTCATTCAGTATACCAAACAGGGTATTAGATTACCTCTCAGATAATTATTGTATCAGCTGTAAACTGGATAAACTGCATGCATGCACACACGCACCCAGACACGTACGCACGCGCACACACATACAAACACACTCGTGCACCATCTCTCCCCAAACCATCCACCATTACCACCACCATCTTCGCGGACTATCAATTATTATACGTTTTCCATATATTGCGTGGTATATTGTTACAGACTTATAGACTTCTATATTTTCTTACAGACATTCGGAGACACGCTCGCCCACACTGACTATGGACACAATGCCTGTATAATCAATTCACGATGGCGGAAACCTGACTTCATCAGTTTGCGCACCTAGGCTTCTGTTGCGGTTAATGGTTTTCCTCTGGCGTCGATCTAGCTTTCCGGCACGAATCATCGAGTGCGGCTGTTTGCTACTGTGACTGTCAATACAAATCGCCTCATTACGGGCCTACTTTCCACACCACATCATTGCTCCACCCTACCTAGCTCTGTTCCACTATTCTTACAATTATTTGCGGATCATCTCTAGTCTATCAATCTTCTAGGAGGTTGATTATAATCTAGAGATGCGGAATAATGAGGAGGAGGAGGAGTAGGGAGAACAGCGAGAGGTAGAGAAATATGTCGCATGCGCGCGCGGCCAACATCAATGGATAAACAATTAGACCTAATTAGAACGCGGAAGCAGACGCGCACGGAAGCCAGATGTAAGACGATAACTGTCTTCTGGAGTGCGCGTTATGCCGCCATCATGCGGAACGTAATTCAATTGAACCTTCATGGTTGTTGCTCTCCACTTCCCAGACGCAAACACCTCTCGCTATGTGTGCGCGTCGCTGCGTAAATTTGCGCTCCAAGGGTGGTTGAGATCGCGGTGTGCGTGCATAGGGGCACCGATCGATAGGCCATTACATAGGTGATTTTATTTAGTAGCCATTTTCTGCGACACACAACGGCTACAGTAATGAAGAGTTACCGTGTGCGGTGTGTAGCAGCAGCATAAAGTCAAACGTATGTAGCAACTTGCGCCGCTGGGGATCGAAGTGAGCAGGCGGCTTGCAAACAATGAGAGAATATGATTGTTCACGTATATCAATCTCGTGTCACTTGTGTAAACGATGGTACAAATGGCGAACTGCGCGGGGCATATTGAACTATGGGGTGGCGGTGATCGGCGTATACGACCATTTACGTATCTCTGAAAATTACTGCCATGCACTTTGGCATCGAGCCAAGCGTTTCGTATATGTGTTGGAATCGCGGTAAATGAAGCGACCGTTTCCGGAAATCGGCGCAATCCTTTCCAGACAAGGCCTATTTGAG